CAATTCGCCTATAAAAGCACAAGGATAAAACGTTGGTATCCTTGGGGAGTTTCCTCCGCTGAGAATCATTACGAAAATACGACAAAATTGTGGACTGTCTGTAGTCGGGAAGGGGTGTTATTTATGGAGGGCAGAGGCCCGAGTGTGTCTGAGTGGCTCTATTAGCTCAACTAATATTTTCTTCTTCAAGTTAATTGTTATGTCGCCTTTAAGAGCAGGTGGCTTGTCCCATTAGGAGGCCGCGGGCAACTTAATGCCGAGACACGAAACTTGAGCGTCACTGAGGGAACTCTGTACCCGCGGAAATATTTAAACAAATTAAAACTTTTTCTTTATGCCATTTCCCGAAGATACTCTTCTTATTGTGATTCGTTTTTATTGAGTTTGCGGCCAGTTTTTTTTTGTCGCAACTAAATTATGCGAAATGTCCAGTAAATAAGGTTGTATGGGCTAACTTTTGGGTTCGAACACAAATGTTTAATGTTCCGTTATTTCCACGTGTAATCTATTTTCCCGTTTTCTAACAAATTCTTGGTAAATTTGACCACAAAGAGAAACTAAAAGTTATCAAACATTCAAGTTTAAGGTAGAACTAGAAACCAAAGAATAAGTCGAAACTCAAGCCCAACAATAAATACGTGTCAAAGTTTGCCAATATAGGCGAACTCCTTGTGAGGTTGCCTACAAACAATCCGACTAAACCGAGAGCATTGTTAGCTACACCACCTTGATTGACGTGAGGTTGACCAACTCTGGGCCATCTCCCAAGTCCGGCCGAAGTAACAAGATGCATAGTTCCCGAATTCCGTGGAACAACTGACAGTTTAAATTTCAAATATTAGTTCCACAATGAGTAATGGTATTTGTTCAGGATCTAATTTGCATGGCATCTAAAAACAGACAACTTGTCCATTGTTACGATTAGAATGTTATTCGTGTATATCCTGCATTTAAAGGGCTCGTCTGTTTTATTATTTGAATTGTAAATTATGTCTATTAGAAAGAAAAATATGTGAACAGACATAAATGATGTTAAAACAATAAAATAACACAGTAGTGAACTAGAAAGCGAATCCAATGCAACATAGTGCAAATCAAAGGACCTATTGTTTCATCAGAAACATGTTACAAAATATGTTATAAATAAAATCAAACCAGTAAATTATTTTTTTCAAAATCCAATTTCCGCCATATTGAAAGCCTGGGGTGTAAACGTACGCTCGTATAAACACGGTGTGTTTAGAAATAAGTCACAGTGACGTCACGAGACACGCTGACAAACAAACAAATCAGTCGCGATGCACGCGCGAGCAAACAGCGCGATTGTTCAGATATTAGTTCATCGCGTAATGTTGGCTGCACGATCGCGATACCGCGCGATTTGATGGATCGCGATACTAAATGTAATGCTAAAGCTCTGTTCATTGTGTGCCATGACGTCACCTGATACTTGTAATATCACGACCCAATTTATACCTCGCAACGCTAAAATCATAATACTTTATTAAAACTTCCAACTATCAGTCAAAAACAATAGCATTATAATTTATCTTCTTAGCCTTAAACCAAAGCCTGGTTTTAAAACAAACTTTGTTTTTATACAAAAAAGTCGTTATAACTAAAAATTGAGGCTAATTAATTTGCAAACTTACTTTAATTGGTCTTAGACGAATATAATTAAATTCAGCGAGATATTTTAAAATAATTGAAAGTTTGGAATGATGCAAATAATTTCGAGTTTATTCCAATTTACTACGAGAGTCGATGTGGATTGAAGGTTAAGCAATTAAGAGGAGACTATGTAGCAATTTAGCTAGATTTTACTGTTTATTCATGCTTTCGAATTTAATTCAAAGGCTTGTGGAATCAGTTTTTAATGTACTGTAATATTTAACTTTGTAATTTGGTCTTTTGCGATGTAATCTTAGCAAATTGGGCTCGAAATTAATTACGATAAAACGCACGTTTTGAGTATTGTCCAAATGTTTATATAGGAGCATACATTTTAAAAGAAAAAGTATTCAATTTAATCGGAAAGAAATTGAAAGTTATTACTGAGAGATACGGTATCAATTGGATTGGTAACTTAATTATTTATGGCCCTTTGCTTCGTTAGACAATTCCTCCCCTAACAGCTCCCTAAATCTTAACAATGAAAATAAAAAATAGAGGTGCACACATAGCGAATTACCGCGACAGGTATCCCGGGGGACCCGCTCACGTCACTCCCTTAAATGAAATACTTAATAATAGAGGCAGCTTAACACAAACGTGAAGACATTAAAGAAAATTGTCCCTTTTGTACAACTGCTACATTGCTGCCATTTAAGTAATAGTCACATATAGTTTTCAAGATATTATCTAAGTAAATTATGTTGTTTGGACATGTCATTTAATGCTTATGTTGATTGAATAAAACTGTCGACATGTTTACTTATGTTAACGTCATGTTTATTTAATGAACGACCGACATTCACTTCTAACCGATTACTGACACAATTTATTTACTTAGTTTTTTCTATATCTACTCAGTAAGTCCGCGGTTTCGACTCGCTTGTAGGTAGTTCCCTAAACAGTGGCATTTTCCCTGACCAAAAAGGGACTCCACTAAACCCAATACTCTATTTGGGCATTCAGTAAATCCTGTATTTTATTCCCTCCATGTACGCTCAAGTATAAAAATTCCGGCCGTCTACGAACATTGTCTCCAATTTCGCTCACTTACGCTTGCTTGTGAAAAATATTCGGCCAAGAGTGGAATTAGCAAAGTTGGTGGGATACCCGTGTGGGCCACACATCGGCCGAATATTAAAAGGCGAATTAGAGTGGTCACGCCTCTACTATGCGTTCATAAATGTTCTTATTTGGCCTCAAGTTGTTAGACCACTTGTTACGTGACGGCAGCTTTCTAAAAATTTGGCCACTATATATTAGCCTTTCCAAATTTGGAAAAAATTAGTAGCTTTCATGACTAATGTTATAAAGTAGTCGCTTATTAGCATTCATCCACCTGTTTCACAATCAAACGCTCTACTCGTATACCACAGAATGACTGTTCAAAACAAATTAAAACTGAAATCAGCCGAAATGAAATCGATCAGTAATCACATACAAACATTAACTCAAAAGACACCTTCGAGGTTCGCATTGATCACGGCCAAAGTTCGGTTTCACCGTAACGTCGCCCTAGGGAACGACCCCGAACGGCAATACCCGTCCTTGTCGCACGCACTTCATCACAAATGCGAAAGAAGGTAATGACGCGATGTAGGCCTCACAAATTGACCGTAACAATACCGCATTAGGTCACAATCTATGTCGCAGAAATATAGCATAATCTATTTTTTCCCAACAAATCTCTATTGATTCGGTCAAACTACGGACGATCGTATTATGACGAAATGTGTTCCGATTGGTCTATTTTGCCGTCTCCTGACTGAAGTAATAAATTCCATCATTTATGTAAGTTAATAGATATTTATTGCTTCGCTATTTTGGAATATTGTCAGGCTTTTTTACCTAATTCCTTTTTCCATTGGTGGATTTTATTTTTAGTTAGAAATACGCTCACTCTGTATACGATATAGCAAGAAATTATATTTCCCGAACCATTATCAATGTAAAGGAAATTAATGACTGATGTAGGTTATTCTAAATATATTTCAGTACCAGGAAAGCATAATATGGCAGCTGTTTACTTTCCCATGCAAGTTGTAAGAGTCAACCGTAGAAAATGAATATGTTAAACGTACCGACAGGCGATGGTACTCATGCCGTGATACGTCGACTATTTTAAACTCAATCGAAACATAGTTTATTACTTATGAAACTAAAAAAGGAATAGGGAAAAGTTTTATAAAATGTTGGTGTCGAAATTGAACTATTAGAAGGGTAGGGTATTTTTGAATTAACACTTATCCTTGTTTTCAAAGGCTCTGTAACATTCTTGTGTAAATCCTATCCGAGCCTAATTCTTCAGAGTTCCAACCTCCGCCGTACCCAACTACTCTTAACACGTGAACAAATAGGATTACTCCTAACGAAAATGATAGCTTGAGAAAAATAAATGACGATCCTTTACGTTCTCTTCAGACGGTATTAATGTCAAAGATAAATCAGTGTCGGTGTATGTCCGAAAATTAGGTGTTATTTTTTTATTCACCACAAAAGAGGGTTGCTCAGACCGCTCGACCAACAAAAGCGTGGCAATTCCCGCTCAAACAAATCACCACTAAACAAACGTTTCTACAGGTAGGAATAATTCAGCGAAAGGTCACCTGTTACGGGTATTCGACGTCGATCATCGGGAGTGCGTCGTGTCGAGCTACCCGCGTAATGTCGCCCTGGGGACCGGCCGACGCTGGCGACTCCGCCGCCGAGACAAAACCCACGGGCCTCGGCCTGTCAAACCGAACCTGCCCGCTTTTGTACACACGCACATTTTTCAGCCTGGGTCATTTCATACTACCACTGTGTGCCCTTTGCCGTACCGCCAAACATGACATATCTGATACGCATCTAAAAAGTTAATAAGGAAGGAATTTATAATTAAGTCGTACGTACAATTACGTATGTGGAGGCGTCACGCGTCGACGTCAACATGAATATTTACGATGCAATTTCGTTCCATTTCAGATTTATCACTGTTTTGTTGGCGAACAGGGAATTTAAAAAATGCTCCTTCGTGGCCAAATTTAGGTGCGAGCGAGTCGCGTTAGGCGAGCGGTGACAGCGCATCTCCGCTAGCGTGTATTGTTCGTGTCCTAACCGCCGACTTTCCATTTATTTCTCTATGAATACGTTATTACCTGCTCGCCCCCGCTTATCAAAGTTTATTTGCAGCGTGTGGTTTACTCTGTACCGGTCCTTATTCGTTATTACAACGGCGGAGTGTTTTATTGCCGGGCGGGGCTCAAATCGCGCACGACGCCCTTGTTTTTCGCTATTTTCCTCACGATTTTTTCTGAATATGAACTTAATATTATGTGTTTTTGTTACAGATCGAGGACGCCATGCTAATGTTCGACAAACAAACCAATAGGCACAGAGGTAAGTTCTCATTATTTTAGCGAATAATATAACTACGGAACGTGGACCCTCATAAATCAGATCCCAATACTGGCCAAGTACCTAATACTATATACAATTATTAATGTCCTGTACATTAATAAAACTATGCCAATAATGGCTTTGTATAGGTATCCTTCTGAGAAGGTTAGTGATTAGGGACATAGGAATAACAATAATAACCCAAATAACACTATGTCCAATAATACCGAGCTGGAGTGAGTAATCCTCACATTTATTATTGGAAGATAGCTATTTTCAACTATCGATGCTACTAAACAAAATATAATAGCGAAACTCAAGTCATTCCAAACAAAACTACGGTGCAATAAAAACGGAATTCAAAACCGAAATAATATTACATTATTACTACCCCTGCCGTAAGTTACGCGAGGCGAGCCACGCACGAGCGCCCTGTCACCTTATTTTTCTTGACAAAAACAACGGAACTTCCAAAGGCTTGCATGTCACACACGGAAACATATCATTTTTGTTTGTCTCGCCTCATTTCTCTGGCCGTCTTCGCCACAAAGTCGTCACTGGTTAACTAGCAACGGATAAATATAGGCTTCGACCCTCAATGAAAGCTGGCCAGTGTAAACAGACATGTCACAATGTAAAGAGCCTGCTTTCCAATAGTAAGGAGCTAAACTAAGAGGAAAGGGAGAGAGTTCAGGTTAGAATGGCGGCGCCGTGGCTGAGGCGAAGCGGAGCGAAACGGAGGTGGCATCGTCACTAAACAGGCGCACCGTTTTCGGTATTGTGCTCCCTCCCCATGTTACGACTATTCCCGGCTAATAAATAACAAATCGACGCCCGGATAAAATATACGGTTTCCTCGGCAGGAGATTTTGTATTATTGTGAGGGTAAAACCGAAGTTACGCTTCAAATCTGCCTATTTCAATTTCGATGGCCGCGCTTCCACTTTTTTCGTAAATATAACACATCGTCATAAACAAACCAATAAATTTTGTCCCAAAACACTAAAGTCCGGGGCCCACGTAATCAGTTTCTTTCATTACCTCACAACGCGTAAGATTTTAATTAAAATTCACGAAAATCGTATCAAGGCGAGCCATCTTTTGTTGGCAACGAAGGTTCCCTTGTAGCAGTTACAGCAAATACAATGTTAAATTTGCTTTTGTAATCCCCATTACACAAAAACAGGTTGACCCAAATATTCAGGCTCAGTGAAATATCGTTGCGCCGTCATTTATGCAAGTTCGCAAAAACGAATCCTGTTTCATTCGTCGCTAAGGGAAAAACGACTCTTTCTTGTCGTTGTAAGACATAAAATAATTCACCGATGTCTGCTAAACTTCCAACTTTTGTGCCCTTTGCGTGTCATTTGGATGATATTTTGAGATCCCTCTGTTTGTAATTAGATAAACATTGAAATAAACCACGGCATGCCTAGAATAGATTTTAATGTAGTCGTCGAAACTTTCACTTTGAGAACGTACCTGCTCAGGCGATACTTACATTTGTGGGCTACGATTCGTGTAAGGTTGGCGCGTGGCAAAATATGAACAGCGCATATAATAATCTAATATAAATATTCCTTAGGCCTCCCCTAATACTACACTTGGGTTATTATCCCCGGAACGTAATCAGTTGGGTCGGGTTATCCTGGCAAGAAATGTAAAAATATCCGCTGTTTATTTGTATCAAACTCGGGCAAGAGGCAACCCAAACGCGTATTCAAACTGAATATGAATGTAAACTGCCCCAGCGAACGGGCGGAATGGCGAAAATCAAATTAGGTATGGCGTGAATACTTCACGGCGACGGCGGGAAAAAAATTGAAATCAAATATTCATTGACTTTCAACCGGATAAGCCGGCCCGCAGCCATTTCAATACATTTTATTATCTATTTTCGTTGTGAGGACCACGCCTCGGTGACGCGGGCCCACACTCACCGATATATCCCGACAAATCCTATATCAATAATTTTAAACGTATTATTTATTTCAATGACAACATTATGATCGATATAATCCTAACAAGTAAAGCGAAAGTGATTACCTTACACGCCACCAATTGAAATGTTGTATGGCTTCTCTAAAGTTCACAGACCTGACCTGATTTCTCTAAACCTTACAGAGAAAATAATAAAAAAGGTCAAATATTAGAGATTGAATACTCTATAATATAAATGTTTGATATTACCGTCCCGGTCCCAACTAAAGGTTTAGGGCTGAAGTAATTTATCAGCACCTTTTAAACAAAAGGACAAAAATATGTCGGCAACATAACTTTTGATAATGTTTAATATTCTTTTTCACATTATTTAGTTAATAAATCACGTGTTGAATGGAGACTTAATTTAAAGGGTGATTTTTATGTTAAGCTGTTGAATCTGTGAAAAATAAAAACCTTTTAGCCTTTTCAGTACATTAAATATGCGCGAATAATGCGTTTAATAGCACCCTTTACTTTTATTTATGACCTTTGCCGGTTGAAAAAAAATAATTAACGATGTCCCTTTGCAAAATATTTTCCATTGTCTCTGTCTAATAATTTAATTTTTCGGATATAAAATACCAATGGAAATAAATCCTTTATCGCTCGTGGATTTGTACATCGCGGTATCGCTAACACAGTAAGGGTGCAGGATGTCTTGTTTCGCAATCAACGGAGCGTTACCAAATACGTTCACGTTCGTTTGGCATTCAAGGTGTCAGCGGAGCTTGAAGTAAATGCCATTACACAAAGGTAAACGCGACATGTGAGAGACGAAGTTCATAAATATTAAACAAAAAAAAAGTAGCAAACAATCTCTGCGGAGCGGATTCCATTTGGTCGTGCGAACCACCTCACGCGCCTAAGGGACGCATTTCTACGAGTGCGTTCCAGGTACCGTGAAAATTTCACCTCTCACTTTGCATAAGAGTAGTGCCATCTATATTTTATTTCTCACAGTTCGTGATATGTAAAGACGCCTATCGCGTGAATCATAAATGGCGATCGTTTTCTTCGAGAGCCATAAAAATACTGAAGTCAAAAAAGGAGCATCACTATAGTATTTTTAAGCTTTATGCCCTTCACGTACAGACGTTTCCACGCCCATCTCTTTTGTTTTCACCGCTGTGTTTACGATTTTCTGTAATAAATTATGATTGTCGTAAATTTTCACCGTACGTGTAATAAAAACTTATTTTACAATTCAAATTCAATACAATACCGGTTGAAATAATGAATAATCTATTTGCTAGAATGTCGGAAGGATATCGCTTGATTTTGTTATAATCCTATCTGTATTCAATTCACTGCACGAAACACTTCAATTTCGCTATTTTTGTACATGTCGAGGCAATTCTAATACTGACAAAGCTTTTGAAGTAGAGCTCTCAGACTGTAAGGCTGCAATCTTACTTAGCACGTCGGTACAAAAGAATTTGATCTTTATGTATACGGGTGGAAGGTTGTTTGTGTAAATGTATTTGGTGTGTGCTAAGTGGGTGCACGTGGCCTCGTCCCGGGGGAGAGACGGGAATACCCGGGGTTTACATGCATCTTGCGGCCAACCAACAGCTCCTGTTAATATTACGTGTATTACAATTAATTCACTTTAAAACAATCTCTATTTCGAGTGGATGTAGTTCACTCCGACAAATTTAGTCGTTCTTTATAATTAAACTTTATTTATTTATAGGTAAAGTTTAAATTTGTGTGTCTTAACTTGTATTCGTTAAATAGTTTCAAATGTAAAGTTAGTTAGGGAGTAGAACGTAAGTTTTAGACTCGATGCATTCTATAAGTATTAAGACTAGTGTGACTCTTGATAAACAAAGTTTGTTGTTTGTACGCATTAAGTTTGAGACATTGGTTGCCTGTGACACTAAATAACTACTTTTTATTAAACACGATAATAGAAAACCATTATAATAAATAGCTTTAATGAATGTGAAGTGCACTGTCAAGTGAATAGAATTAACTTAGTGCTCATAACACAAAAGTAATCAACCAAGAACAAATCATTTAGAATTAATCAACAGACACCAAAAAACCTTACAAAAACTCGATATATTTAGCACGTCACTACTACTACAATACCTAATTCTGTCATTTACGAACATTGAAAGCACGAAAACACTGCCTACCTCTACAGGGACTGCCATCGTAACAGTATCGATATTCCCAACTTTATCGAGTCGGCACATCCCTAGAGATGTGGTTGCGAATGCATCTCGAGTGATGCATCGATATGAGAAAGTGGGATGGTAAACACTGGGGACATCCCTATAATCACCTGTTTACTCTTCTTTCTACTTTGGAAGTAAATACAGTACTTCTCTTTTATTGAATGTCGAGTATGTGTAAACAGAGAGGTTTTACTCAGATTTTATTACGTGTCAGTGATTGTTTTGTTTGTTTATTAGCCTGAGTACGTGTCTGTGAGATAGTGACTTGTTGGATTGGCGTTTAGATGAAAACATTTGAGAATAGTGAAAGAGTACAGAGGAGAACTGGTTTTGACTGGTATTTTAAACACGCAGTATTAACACACCTATTTAAAACAGATACATCGATATATTTTTTAAGGGGGGACAATCATCGTATGACTTCTCCTGCCTAGGTGAGGCGAGAGAGTGTCAAACTCTTACTGACTAAAAACCAACCCATAGCGAACTATTAGGACATTGATACCACTCCTTCTGATTGCAAAAACTAACCCAACCCCAATCAAATGAAAAGCATTTCAACGTAATCGCAAAATAATAATCCGAAAATAAACATAAACTCACGCCTCACTAACTTCGTGATAACCATTACGAGATAAATATTTAATTACAATGATAATCAGCTTTAAACAAAATAATCGATACACTTTAAACGAAGCTTTTAATACACGCGCCATAATACAGAGTTAAACCTCTTAATTTAATATATATTAAACCCTCCCTTACTGTTTCTCATCATTAATTAACATCGGTGTTATGATGGCTTCCAAAAACTACCATTATTCGTTAACCTCG